TTAATATATTTAAATGGTGTTAATATAAGTAGATTGTCTTATACTTGGATTTCATTTTATTATGTTTTGTGTCCTTTGTGCTTTTTTTTTCTTTACTTTGAAGAACTGTAGGTACATTGAACAGATACAGTAAATACAAGAACTTGCCAAACCACTGAGATCATTAATGGGAATGGGATAAGTGTAGTATTAATATGTATAATATTTATAAAGCTATGGGAAAGTGGTCTTATGCAACACATAAAATCCACCTTTGACACACAGATGACATGAGTGTAATTATGGTAGCAAATCAAACAAAGTAAAAAAAAACCTGTGTTTTTAGTTGTTACATTATAAGATACTGGAAAATACATCTTGGTAAATTGAGAATGCTAATATTTTCTATGGATCCAACCTATGATATAAAAATTTTTGGTTTTGTTAATTATTTTCTTTCTGTTCCTTCATTTACTATTTCACAATCTACTATTACCACACCAAAAAGTGGGTAATAGAAGTGGATGATCCTCAAACTAATGACTATTTATTCATTAGTAGGAACTTGAAATTTCTAGATTGGAAGTATAGATGCCCACACAAAAATTGTGTTTCTCACAGCAAAACAGAAATTTTTCCTTGCATTTTCTCTCCACTGTGAGCAAGTGACGAACTTTACTTTTGATAAAGCATGGTTTTCATGTATCTATTAGTCAGCTACAGTGTTTTCATTTGACCTTAAAATGGCTAAGGACAATGACTGGCTAAGGACAATGACTGGCTGAGGACAATAGGTCTGGCTTCTTTATTTATTTATTTTTTCTTAACACAGGTTTTTTTCTTAGAGGCCAAAACCAGCATTTCAAGTCCATGACTCTGAGCTTACATGACTACTAGTGAATAATATTTTATTTTTAAATATTTGAGTGTCTAGAGAAATAAGTTGGAGCCTAGTATAAGAAATGGCTTGAATTATAAAAATTTAATGTGTACTCATTGTGGGAAGGGGACGGAGACTCCTTTTTTTCTTTCTCCTTTTCAATAAATTGTGGAAATAGGTTTTTTTTTCCTAAAATCATATGACCAGAGATTTAGGGGTGATAGTGAATATTTAAGTGAATAACAAGACAGGGAAATGAGCAATTATTTTATAGAATTATAGCAACCCGTTTTGGGAGAAACCAGAAGCATATAAATATATCATGGTTCATAGTACTATAGAGAGGAAGGGATATAGAATAATCAGGTGTGCTGAGGTCTGATAATGCTGTAGTCTTATGAAAATATACAGTAGACCATTGGACTGCCCCCAATAACAGCTATTAATGATGTAAAATGCTATCTGCATGTAAAATGGACAGTACTTGGTAAGAATTGTGAGGACTATGTAGGGACAGGGTAGGAAAGTAATATACCAGTATACTTCATGCCCAAGCAAATAAACTATTGAGAATCAACATTTTCAAAATTTAGAAATAAAAAATCAAAAGGGAAATCTAAATATGAGCAATGGCTCTTAATCAGTATTGATATCCTAATTGTTATATTGTACATAGTTTTGCAAAATGCTACCAGAAGAAACTCAGTAAAATATACATATAAAAACTCTCTGCGTTATTTCTTTTTTTTAGCGTATATTACTAATTACTAATATTTCATTGCAACATCTACCCATGTGCTTACAAGGTATCTTAATTAGATTCACCCACTCCGTCATTCTCCCTTGTCCTCTTCCTCCTTCTTTGAACAATTTCAAAAGGTTTCATTGTTTAGTTTTCATTCTGTGTCATTTCTTACAAATCTATGTGAATCTACCTTTATCTCAATTAAAATTCCCATTATAAAAGAGAAAAAGATTATAATTCATAATAGTCACGGAAAGTATAATTTTTACATATTTAGATAGCCATTATGCCATTACAAAGCACTGAAATATTTCTGAATAATGAGGAATATAAGGCTTAAACCTTAAAAGAGATAATGAATGAAGAGACTTCAGCACAGTGTCTTAGATGAACTTGACCTTTAATTATCCTTATCACAGTCAAGTTGGAAAGAAACATTATTGAGGGTTGAACTCAGTTCAACACTTCTACAAGATTAGTTGTGGTATTTTCAGAAATCCATATGTAAAATAGTTTACAGATTCTTTTGTATTCCTGGTAGCAACAATGAGCAACTGCACATTTACTGATGTCTCACAACTTTTTATCTTGTGTATTCTTAGATTGGTACCTAGCTAACAAAATTTCACATTTTAATCTAATAATGATCCCAAGAATATCTTATTCCTGTATCTGTTTTGCTAGGATTGCTACTTCTGTTTCATAAATGTATTTTTTTCTACACACTGCTGTGTGGTTTTAACTGCACATACTAGCAAATGTAAATAGTTTTATTTAAGTTTAGATTGACAAAGCTGAATCAATATTTTGTGTTCAATTGAATGTATCATTAATAAGGACTACTTCAGGGACTTACTGTTATCTTTCAGGAAAAATATACCCAAAAGACTTAGCAGTCAAGAATCTCAGATAATTGCATGATGAATATTTTTAATGGAAAAGTTTTTTGTTCTCCTACTGGGACTCTATATAAGATCCATATAATACCAACTAACTAATCAATGAATTCATGACAGATTTAAGCAGTCTGTCACCTTCCCCAATTGCAGATATATCTCAATAGATATTTAATGTTTTTCTGATTCTTTTGTTTATACAGTAGAACTACAAAATACTAACAATTTTTCACTGATTTTTCCTGATGGAATAAAGGAAGTTTTATTTAGCAGAAATATTATATTCACTGACAATTCATTGATTTCATCTGGCTATAAATGTGTGTATGTACATCTCAACTATGTGCTGATCCAATATTTTGTTTCTGAGAATACATGTTGGTCTCCTGGTGCTTTCTACATTTACCTCTCTCTTACGTAAACTTAGATAAGAGTTTATTGCTGTCATTTGTCCCAGTAATATATATAGTTGTCTCTCCTTGTTGTGGTTTCAGTTTCTTGGAATCAACCATGGTCCAAAAATATTAAGTGGAAAATTCCAGAAATAGACAATTATACATTTTAAATTTATAATAATGTGATATTCTGAGTAGTGTGATGAAATCTCCATCCTGCCCAGGAGGTGAATCATCCCTTTCTTTGTCCATGGTATCCACACCAGATTCACTGTCTGCTCATTTGACACTTAGTACTCACCTCTTTATTCAGATTGACTGACAGTGAATCACACTTATATTCAGGGAACCCTTTATTTTACTTAATAATGGCCCAAAGCTCAAGTGTAGTGATACTGGCAATTTTATTACAGTTTGTGTTTTATTTTTATTATTAGTTAACTGTTGTTAATTTCTTACTGTGCCTAATTTATAAATGAAACTTTATCATTGATATGTAAGTATAGGAAAAAGCATGGTGTGTAGTTTGGTACTATCTTTGGTTTCAGGAATTCACTTGGGTATAGGAACGTATCTCCCTCCCCCACCCCAACATAAAGGGGGGCTACTTTAATTTCTGAAATAGGAATTTGGATTTGTGGGATTGACTAGATTTCTTAGAGTCTATTTTTATTTCTTTTTATTTGGGCTGATGTTGGTTGTCTCTCAGTAATTTTTCTAAATAAAATTAGATTTTCTAATCCAATTCATATAATGAAAATTTAATTTAAATTAAATTCACATTTATTACTAAATACAATATCTGTAATAATTGTCAATTTTGGAAGGGCAGTCCTTTGATTTGTACTCAGGGCCTAATATTTGCAAGGCAAGCACTCTACCACTTGAGCCATACCCCCAGTCCTTGTTTATCTGGCCATCCATCTATCTATCTATCTATTTATTGCCTTAATTATTTTTCAGATAGGGTCTTGAAACCTCTAGGATGGCCTCCCAAGTAGCTGGGATTACAAACATGAGCCACCACACCCAGCAATAATCATCAATTTAAGGAACAATGTTATTAACAATTTACATAGAAATATAAATTTTAAGTATATAAATATATATGTTCATATTTTATAATAATCCATAAAGTAGTGAGTTAAAAGGCAGAAATTGTGTTCATCTTGTTGTAAATTAATTATTCCATACTGTTTATTTTTTACTTATGGAAAAGCTGTTGTACAAAAAAAGTTTTATATCTCTAATCTTGCTTTTGTTTCAAGAATAAATTCTAGGGCCAGGCAATAGGACACATGCCTACAATTTCAGCTAAAAAGTTAGCTAGACTCCATCTCAACAACAACAAAAAACATGCAAAGTAGTACATGCCTACTGTTTGAGGAAGCGGGAGGCATAGGTAAGGAAGATCACCTTCCAAGGCCAGACTTGGGGAAAAAACACCAGACCCTATCCAAAAAATAACTAAAGCCAAAGACACTGTGGGCATGGTTCAAGCGGTAGAGCCCTACCTAGCAAGCACAAGTCCCTGAGTTCAAACTCCAATACTGCCAAAATAAGTAAATAGATGATAGATAGATTTTGTGTTGTATTTTTGAAATATCTTGAGTATAATGTTTAAATCCTTAGTACATGTGTTGTACCTATGACAAATACAGTAACATCCTCTTGCTATTTTTATCATTCATCCAGAGAAATTTAAAATAAGTTATGCCTTTATAATGTGAAAGAAAATAGCTATTGAAATATAAAATTTGAAAAGGTTTTTCATAGACAGTAGTTACTTCAAGAGTTCTAGATCAGTGTTTCTCAAACTGTCATATGTATGAACTCCCCATGGTGAGTCTTGGAAAAGTGCAGATTTTGCTGTCGTGGATCTGAGATTGCATTGACCAGTAAAAGTCAGTGCTCACCTCCCCCAACCCTCCAAAATACCTAAAGGTATACATTGTAATCCAAGAGATGGACAGTGAGGTCAGGAGTACACCTCTGACCTTCCTATGAGAATTCTCTGTATTGAGAATCTCTGGTGAGTAATTTGCATATCTCAAGTTCCCTGAGTTTCTGATTGTTTATTTCCCATTCTAATGTATTTTGTTTAGCTCTTTTGACAGTAAGTTTGTTTACCAGCAAAGAGGACTTGGACCAATTGAAGAGGACACTATTCTTGTTGTAGATCCAAATAGTGCTGCAATACTCCAGTCTAGTGGAAAAAGCCTGTGAGTAAAATGACTTATTTGTTATTAAGGGTTGTTCTACATATACGGATATAAAGCTTAACCCTGAGTCTTTAAAAAATACATGTACAACTGCCCTGAAGAAAGCAGATTAACTGAGCCATCATATCTTTCATTTTCTAAATAAGTGGTTCTAAACCTTGAACCAGATATTAGTGCCATCTGAAAAGCAACAAAGCATGCATTCATAGCCATTGGCCATTTGCATGTTTTTGAGAAATGTCGGTTCAAATGTTTTGCCCATTTCACAATTGCTGAGAGTAAATTTTAAATACTCATCACAAAAAGTATCTGAGATGATAGGTACTATATTGATTTGATTTAATCATTATACATTGTATAATTACAATTGTATCATTACATCACATTGTATACCAAAAAATACAATGTTAAGTTATCCATTTGTAATTTTAAAAATTAGATTCTGATTTGATCTGGGGTGTAGCTAATGTAATTAAGTCTCTTCAGGTGATTCTAATATGTAATCAAGATTGAGAGAGCCACTGAGATACACAGTGATATGAGTTGTTGGTTGGCTAGATTTGATGATTAAAACAAGAAAAAGAATTCTTCTGGGGCTGGGATCCTCGTTAAAGGGATAGAGTGCCTGCCTAGTAATCTCAAGCCCCCTAAATTCTAAACCCTAGTATCACCAAAAAACATTTTTTTTCAGCAGAAAACTTACATAGTAAATTTATCAAGTAATCATGATAAGCTAAGGGTTTTCTCTCTCCATCTAAAAATGAAGACTATACAAATACCATTTTTAACTTTCCTTAGTAAGCATATGTAGTTTGGATTTAAGAGCCACCCATTATTCCTAGATGGCTGATTGTCATTTTAAAAAAAAGAGATTGTCATTTTAAAAAAAAGAGATGCCTGCTTGCTGTCTCCTCAGCCATTGTAGCCTGGCAGCTTGAGGAACTCTGCCCTACTCTACCTGTTTAAGCACAGGGAAGGCCAGCTTCTGTGAAAGACAGGGAGCCACTGCTTTGAATGCAGCTTAGATTTCTGTATAGTATTCTCAGATGATAAATCAGGGGCCACAATTTAATACCAGCTCCGCCTGTGTTTGAGCCTATCTCTTTGGAACTGTGTCCACGAGTCAGAGGCATCCTCATCCCCAAAAGGTATTAAGAAGGAAGGTGGAACAACTGTCACTAAATCAACTTGGACAGCAATAGGGGGGTCAGAGCTGAAGGCAAATCATCACCCTCACTTCCAGTCATCAGAACAGAATCTAGTTCAATTAGTCAAGATCAGAGTGTTACAGAATTGGCTCATGAAAAAAATAATCTCTGGTGCCAGTACCATAAGAGTCAAGCTAACAGATGAGTCTTGTGAACTGTCAATGTCATTTGACCATAACCACTTTAATACAGGTTTGGTGATTAACCCTGTGCAGCTTCCTTAAACCTGTGGGCCTCTGCCTACATCAGCTTCTAATTCTCTTACCTAAATCATCCAGATTGATTTGTTAAGTAGATGAACATTCTCTAATGTGCCGTGCTTACCACTTCACTTTGCCTGGATGATCACAGCCCTGCTGAAAGGTGTTTTCTTTGTGCTTTATTGTCTTTAGTAGGCATTCTTAAAGCTTTTAAGTCATATATTTAATATTTTATATTAATACATTAGATTCTTTGTAGAAATCCATTGACATTTCTCTGGACAATTTGTTTTATGTTTGTTGCTCAAATGTTTATGATATGAGAACCTGCTTTTAATTTGATTTTGTGTTGTTTACTCTAGTAGACCTTACTTCATAATAAATATAATTTTTATGTAAGCTTCATTTATAGATTTTAATATGATTGATTAAAAGCTTTGTCACATGGAGGTCTCTATTATAGCATATTTTTACTTAACAGTTTATTTTGGTCTTTTCCATAATAATACAAGTATACATTTATTAATTTCTAAATCTATATTGCCCTTATGGAATAATCAGAAATAAATAACTCTCATGTATGCTTTGGGAATTCTAATAAAGACAATTATTACTTTTCAGGTTTTACTTGCCACATGGCTTGAGTGTAGATAAAGATGGAAACTATTGGCTCACAGATGTGGCTCTCCATCAGGTAACCTTCCCATTTGGTGGTATTCAAATAGAGGATAACAGGATTAAGCTTTCAAAGTGCTCTGGAATTTTTGTGATATAGTAAGTTGATAAGAAAGTGAAACACCCATGTCTTAAGCAGCTCAGCCTGCCTAACCATAGACTCCATAGCTTACAGACAACAGACATTCATTTCTCAGAAATCTGGAATCTGGAAGTCTTTGGATACCGGCATGGTGGGGTTCTGGTGAGGGCCCTCTTCCAGGTTGCAAACTGCCAACTTCTCATTGTATTCTCACATGGCAGAGAAAAAAGTGAGCCTAAACTCTTGTGTTTTTTACAAGGGCACTAGTCCTCTTCATGACCTAACTACTTCCCAAAGGTCCCACTCCCTGATACCATCATATTGGGGTTAGGATTTTAACATGTGAATTTGGGAGACATTTGATATTTAGTCTATATTAATCCATACCTGAATATGTTCTTTTAGCACTCAGTTCTAGGAAAAGTTAAAATGTTAATATCAAATCTCTCTTACCGTTGGGCTGACAGGAAGCTTAGGGTCAGATATGGAGCTTTGCTGAGATTTATAAAGGTCCTCTCCATGTCCTTTTTAGTTTTCTGCATTCCCTTTTATTTCCTCTTTCCCCCAGTCTTATTTCTGTTTTATCACTTACAGTTCATGTTTTCTTTCCTAAGCTACTTTAATTTTTTATAAATTAAGGCAAGGTCCATAGTAACTATTTATTTATGTATAAAAATCAAACTTCAGTGCATGGTGATACATTTCTGTAATCCCAGCTGTTCAGGAGGCTGAGTCAGAATCTCAACCTGAGCAAAGTTAGCAAGACCCTATCTCAAAAACAAAATACAAACCAAAAGAACTGGGGCTTGGTTCAGTTGATAGAAGACTTGCCTAGCACGTGCAAGGCCCTGGGTTCAATCTCCAGTCCACCCCTCCAAAAATTACGAATTTGTTTTGTGCTTTTTCAAAGAACTTACATTTCAGAATAGTCTTAAGTTTTTGCATCCTTAAGATAAACTTGTTAAGTATAACATAGGTGGCAAAGAACTAGGAAAAAAGTTGAAAAAAGCCTAGAACTTAGTTAGGCGTATCAGTAATAATCATGAAAAGTAGGTAAGGCTTTTGCTCCTTTTTTAAAAAGGTGTTCAAACTGGATCCAAACAGTAAAGAAGGCCCTCTGTTAATCCTGGGGAGGAGCATGCAGCCAGGCAGTGACCAGAATCACTTCTGCCAACCCACCGATGTGGCTGTGGATCCAGACACTGGAGCTATCTATGTGTCCGATGGTTATTGCAACAGTCGAATTGTACAGTTTTCACCAAATGGGAATTTCCTCACACAATGGGGAGAAGGTATGCAATGAGACTCTTGAAATCTAATTATAAGTCTTAAACAATATCACCAGGAACCCAACATCCTCTATAATGAAGAAAACAGGGTCGCTGTATGCATTCAGTTAGCGTAGTCATACCACACACCTCACACACGCAATTCTTATAAGGGAAAAAGAATGCTTCCATCAAAACCTTTGTCCAAATAGAAAATTTGCAGTGTATTTGTGGGAATAAACTTATAAAAAGTGGTGATATTTAATGGCTTCTTACCAAGAATTTTGAAAATTATAAAACTAGGGTCACACTTTGGATGTTTTCCTAAATTGGGTGTCTGGGCCTTTTCTTTGTTCTGTAGAGTCTTCCAGGAGTGGACCTAAACCAGGCCAATTCAGTGTTCCTCACAGCTTGGCCCTTGTTCCTCATTTGGGCCAGTTGTGTGTGGCAGACAGGGAAAATGGTCGGATCCAGTGTTTTAAAACTGACACCAAAGAATTTGTGAAAGAAATTAAGCATGCATCGTTTGGAAGAAATGTATTTGCAATTTCATATATACCAGGTATTTTGGGGGCGGGAGTTGGGTTCATTGTATTATAGAGTACTCTCGTAAAATTAATTCTCTTATCCTGATGTCCATTTTTAATCATTTGTTTTCTTAATTAAGGAGTTGATGCTGTGTAGAGATCTGAAAGTACAGTAAAATTGTTATTGCATCATAATTTATTTTAACTCAAGTGCCACTATTCCTTTTACAGAAATAATGAAGAACTAAAAGAGGATTTCACAGCTGTTTGTATTGGATTTTAAAATATTCCCAAACATTGACTTTTCTTTAATTATGATCAGCTGCTCTAGTTGTTGAATGATTAATACTGTCTTCATACATCACCAACAGATGGTATATGTCTGACAAAACCAGCCTTCAAAATAGTTGTTTCATATTTTTTTTAAAAAGCAGTGGCCAGTTTTTTTAAATAAGATAAATATATAAAATAATAGAGGTTTATATGTACATGCCAGTAGAAACAACTAGAAAATCTCTTGTCCTTATTTTCAGATAGATTTTACTGACTTTAAAGAAATTTCAAAGGAAATTTGAAAAGTAATCTAAACTTATAAAATAAGATGCTTAATTCTCATTATAACATAATATCATAAGCTTTCTTCAATAAATGCTAAGGAACTTAAAACAAAATTTAGATATATAATTTTAAAATATATTTTATGAAATATATCTAAATTAAGGTAGCATTGATTCTATAATCACTATAATAGTTACATTTTTATGCTATTATGACATGAGATAAAAGGACTCAGGTAACTGGACACAGAGCAAGTTTGGCTGGTCCAGGGAATAAGTAATAAGAGATTGTCAATATCAACAAAAGAGAAATCTCTGGTTGGTTTTACCTCACATTCAAAGAATTGATTCCGGACCATTCACTTAATAGAGAAAGTGAACAAGTTGATACTGAACAAAAATAACTATAAGAAGAAAAATACTTGGGGAAAATATAATAATAAATCTGATTAGAAACAGAATGTAAGCAAAAGACAGTTCTCTTACAATATTCCACAATAGTAATTGATGTTTATACTGTAGATTATTCTATAGTAAATTCTTAAAGATGAAAAATTTTCAACAGTGTTTTTAGGTTGTGTATACTTTTTTATGGTTTCGCGTGCTAAGTAAGCACTCTACCACTGAGCTATACGCCAGCCCTAGTGTTCTATGTTCTTTAATGTGCTTTAATTCTTGGAAAATGTAATGTTCAGACATCTAAATTATTACTTAACTAAAACATCACTAGTTCTATTATTTCAGATAAATATTACGAAAAATATAATTTTACTAGAAAGTGTATTTATAAAAAAGATGGTTTTTTTACCAAGTGAAAATGTATGTCTTTGATAATCTGAAATGTGCATCACAAATTTTCAAATTCCAGTTGTCTAAAACAAGATTATACTTATATTTATACTGTAACTCCACAGTTTCTTTGCATATTTCTCTCCTTAATAGTGACAATAGATACTATGTATTTTTTAAAAGATTTGATACTGCAAAATAATTGACTTGAATAATTTGACTTTTCCCCATTCCTGTTCAGGATGCCTATAATATCTATATGTATATGTCAGTGTATGTATATATCAATTGCTGTGTACTCCTGATGTCTACTGGCTTCCTAGGTAGAACAGATTTTTTTCAGTTTCTGATTTTTTTTTTTGCCATTTTAGTCCTCTAGCTTGTTTGCACTAGATCTGGTTACTCATTTGCAAAGTATTTTTTTTAATTCTTGTTAGTAATTGTAGGGATCATGTTGACCCTTAAAATAGTTTGTTTCTGTAATGCTGATGCTTATATTTGAGGGCCAAAATTTTAAAGAAAGGCTAACTAGATATTTCGTCACAGGTTTGCTCTTTGCAGTGAATGGGAAGCCTTACTTTGGAGATCAAGAACCTGTACAGGGATTTGTGATGAACTTTTCCAATGGGGAAATTATAGACGTCTTCAAGCCAGTACGCAAGGTATTCACACACATTGTCTAGGTTTCTATTTTCATGAGAGTAAAAGTAAAATATGAAGCTTGGTATCCAAGTACATTTGAATAAACTTTTTTAAAACTTAGAAGATATTAAAGCTTTCTTAGCTGAGTTTATGGTAGGATCCGATTATGATGTTTGATTTGAAATAAATGCCTTTGTCCTTTCCTACATTAATATCTTGAGATGAAAACTAACCCATTATGGCATTCTAAAGTCTTTAGTAGTCTTTGCATATGATATCATAGTTAGAATACCAAAAAACAAATATTTTCCTGGTTTCTTTCATGGAGTGAAGATTCCACATTAAAATGTACTTTTGTATTTCTCTTAGATCCAGCAGAAATCTTGTTTGTTTTTTGTATTGTTATGACTTTACTAAGCAACAGACTTGAAAATACCCTTACTGGTATTTATTCAAGTTCTAAAGACTTGGTTTAGGAAAGAGACTAAATTTTGGCTTCACAAATGGCTTGCCTGCTTTTTCTAATGGCAGTGCTTTTTACATCACAATGACCATGGCTAGTTGTTTCCATAGGCTGTTTGTCTTCCCAGTGTACTTCTTCTGCAGTGTGATTGCCAGAGTGATCAAAATAATCACAGACACTTAAGAAATGTGCTGTGGTGTATAAGTTTTAGAAAGCTCAGCCTCAATAAGAGTTATTTTTCAAAAATTTGTAAAGATTTATTGGCTTTACTTCAATCAAAATGCAGTTATCAAATACCATTGAACACAGTATGACTTGATAACTCATAATTCCTGTATTCATTAAGATACTAAGTTTGCTAGATTAAAAGAAAAAGAAAGAACTAGAAGCTGGGCACAAGCTGGTGGCTTGTGCCTATAATCCTAGCTACTTGAGAGGCTGAGATCAGGAGGATCGAGGTTCCAGGCCAGCCTACGCAAAAAAGTTTGGAGACTCATCTTAATGGATAAAAAAAAACAGACATAGTGGAAAGCATAAAAGGAGATCGTGGTCCAGACCAGCGTGAGCATAAAACAAGACCCCATCTTCAAACTAACCAGAGCAAAAAGGGCTGGAGGCGTGGATGAAGAGGTATAGCATCTACTAACACAAAGTCTTAAGTTCAAAATCTGTACTGCCAGAAAAAAAAAAGAACTTTAAAATGCCTCAATATTTTGGAAAGTAGTCTGTTAGAATACTGACTGTCTGGGGCTTACCAGATTTCATTGCACAGGTACATATTAAGCACATGATGGCTGCACCAGACATTATGCTAAACACCAAAGATAGAATCTTAAGCAGAATAGGTCCCTGCTTCTTACTCAATAGAGGTTTTAGAAAAAAAATCACAGCATTTGAATCAAACCGAAGTAACTGAACTAAAGAATTCCTTTCTTTGCATTTCCACAAAAAAAGGGTTTTTCACAGAAATATTTCATCTGAAAAGCAGTAAGAAATTGCATATCAAATCATAGCAGCTGTCAGAAGGAATTCATTAAATTGGTACTATATATTTTACTTCCATAGTGCTTCAGATGGTCATTGGTTATCTGATCTTCATGTTGTGCCCCTTTGAGGTAATTTCTTAATATCTATTGATAAAGAAAGAATAATCTCAACTTTATTTCAGGTCTTCACTTTGTAGTTAACAGAATATTTCTCTTGCAAGTTCTTTTAATGATTATGTACTGGGTCAACTAGGACATTGTAATTAAAATTGTATCTATAAATCAAAACTAAGTGCTAAGCAGGAGAACTCAACTCTAAGTGAATGTTCCTCTTGTAAGACTCTGAATAGCCCTGAATTAAAATTTCAGAAAGCACCCTGTCTAAACATCAGCATTTGCCATTCAGCAATGAGTGAGTCACAATACACGGGTCAGTGCAGCAAACGTGAAAGAATCTCACTCCAAGATTAAACTTGCTTTTAGTAAACAAGACTTGATTTTTATGCCAAAATAGATGTTTATTCCATATTGATTTAGTAAACTTAAATCAGTTTATGACCCTATCAGAATTTTCATTTAAATGATTGTCATCATAAAGATTAAATTTGGATGTGGTAAATTAACTCCTGCGTAAGAAGCAATTCATTTTTTCAGGTCAGAGATCAAGTTTTCTGTGCCTCTGTTCATATATATTTATTAGTTATCTCCTCACAAACTTCAGGCCTCCCTCTTCTACCATTGTATTCTTTGGGAATATTTGCATCTGAATGTGTGATCTCCATCTTTATGTTTATGAAGGGAAACTGAGGCCGTAGGACAATAAAGGTGGTTCAGTCAAATGCTGTCAAAAAGCTGTAAGGGCAAAATACACAGTCAAAGGAATGATACGTGGTCCCTCATCATCTGCTTTCACACATACCACACCCATCAAAATGAGATTTTTGTCTTCTTTCTTCTGCAAAGACATTCACATGGAAAAGAAAGGGAATGACCCATAACAAAAACAAAAAAAGAGGAAAACAAACAATAAGCCCAGATTCATGTCATTTCTCCAGCCTTCACAATGGAGGTTAAAATTACAGTATTTGACAGTTTTTCAGGTTCATACATTTACTTAATTACTTGTCCAAAGCTACTTAGTAACTAACATACCTGGAACTCAAATCCAGGTCTTTGTGACTCTAAAAATGTGCTCAACCTTTTAATCCCTGCGGTATGTGCTGGCATGCCAAGAGCTCACTGAGCATAGAAACATCCTAGGGACTCTCATACATGCCAGGCACTCTATCCCTGATCCATCCCTGATCTATACCCCAGCCCCCAGGGCTATATTAAGTCACAACATAAGCATAATAAAACTTCTTAGAAAAAATGTTTTACTTACTAAATAAGTAGGTTAAACCTTAGAATTGTGTTAAAGCAAACATGGTTATGATATGGAGTAGACCACAAATTCCTTACGAACTTCTAGAATAAGGCTTTGAGGGCAGTCTGCTCTGAGCTTGTCACTAGGTACCTTAGGAAGAAGCTATCATTCTTTGCTCTTTTCAGTTTTATTTTGTGAGGGGCCTTCAAGAGGCATATTTACCAGCCTAAATTGGAAGGTCTTTACATCTGAACTTTGAAATCCTGAAGTTTATTCCTAATTCACAACAACATAATTGTCCATTTCAAATGACACACAGCAGTAAAATAGTTCACTGAAATGATTATTATAGTCTAGCCCAGCATCACACCTGTAATCCCAGCTACTCAGGAGCTGGAGATATGAGGAGCACACTCTGAGGCCAGCCCCCAGCAAAAGCAAGTGATCCTATCTGAAAAACAAACTAAAAGCAAAAGGACTGGGGTGTGGCTCAAGTGTAAAGAATGCTTGGCAAGCACAAGACCATGAGTTTAGTCCCCATTACAGCCAAAAATAAACACAATTATAATGGAGTATCTCTAATTGCAATAGTAATAGAGGTCCTGAATTTCTGTGGGGTCCCCGAAGTATTTCTGACACAACCCTTGACTCCCTGAATCAGTTTGAGAGTCACTGATAGAGGCTTATTATTATTGTAGCCTTGAATTCATAAACATGCTGTAATTTCTTTAAAGCAGTCAATGAATAGCTCACAAATTCCCCTCACCTGTACTTCCTCATCATTATAATATTTTTCATATCAGAAAATATGAAGTAGCTGAGTGCTATTGGCTCACACCTGTAATCCTAGTTACTTGGGAGGCTCAGATCTGGAGGATCACAGTTAGAGGCCTGTCTGGGCAAATAGTTCACGAGATCCATCTCCAAAATAATCAGCAAAATGTACTGAAGGTGTGGCTCAAATGGTAGAGCACCTGCTTTGCAAGTGCAACCCCCTGAATTCAAACCCCCACTCCACCAAACAAACAAACAAAAAAATGAAGTACTTCACAATCATATGTTTTACAAAGTAATTTCTAAGACCATATTTTATAGAACAGTAACTGCCTGTAATTTGCATGTCTGTTACTATTAACTGAACCCAAAATAAAAATGAATGTTTAATTATAGACCTGTAATATTTTAAAATAGCAACATTTTGATTTCTGGCTCTGTGTCCTTCTTTGCCATTTATCCCAGATCATTTGATAGCATGAAGGAATGAGCCTTGTTGGCATGGCTTTTGTTTTTTGGTTTTTGGGTTTTTTTTTCCAATGTGACAAAGTGTTACCCATTTCTGAAGCACAATAGTATGTCTAAAGCATGTATTCTTCTGCCCTCTTAGAGGGAGCTAGGAAAAGCAGTTTGCCTCATTAGCGCCTTTGTACTCAGCATGCCAGGATGGACATATGCTGGCTGATAGAACCACAGTCTTAACAGTGCTCCTGTTCACATATTTACTAGCCATATTTTTGAGTACCTTGTATTCAAGCAATACTGTTGGCCTCAAAAGTGAAAGAAACTATACATGTCCTGCCAACTAGTACACCTGGGACAACTTTTGAGGCTTCAGTAGACAGATGGAAACGTCAGCAGCACATTTTAAGGCTACTCTTCCAAGAACTAGCTCAGGGACCCCAAGAAAGTCACATAAAGTGCTCCTTGCCTGCTGACTCCTAATTACTGAGATGGTGATTTGAAATGAGTAAAGATACATTTAAATGCAGAGCATCTAAGGTAGGTACAAAAGCCCAGTATAGAAGGTGTCACTCAATTTGCTATCTGAAAATGTTGCAGACACTGAACTTTGAGGGTATAAACACATCGATCATTGCATATCTCCTTATGCACATATCAGAAACACACTAAATGCCCTAAATCTTTGAAATAACTCCTGTTGTAGTAATGTTCAAATGTTTTTAAAGAAGCCTATGATATTTTGGTAAAAATAATAACAAAATTGATACCTAGTCATTTTGACTTGCATAGATTCAAAAAGGCAAGTTTTATAGGGATTAAAAAGTAGAAGAAACATGAAAGCAAAAATAAATATAAACACCAAATAATATACTTAAAAATTTTCGCCTTTTAAAAGAATTGAAAGTCAGTGATGAGGATCCATTAACACTACCCAGTGCTTAGAATGATGCCTGACAGAGTCAGGACCCAATGAATTAATTAATTAATTTATGACTCCATTTGGCCTAGAGCTGATTTGATGGGAACTCTATTGCTGCTTTGGTCTATTTATATGCCGTGCTTTGTTTTCTGCCCTTGTGTGATGGATTCAAAGGCTCACCACATTAATGATTGTCTTCATATTTTCACAGCATTTTGACATGCCTCATGATATTGTTGCATCTGAAGATGGAACTGTGTATATTGGAGATGTTCACACAAACACTGTGTGGAAGTTCACATTGACTGAAAGTATGTTTTTTACAGTATCATTGTCTATGTTTTCCCTCTGTTTTATAACTTAAAAATGTGAAATACACATTTGGATTTTCTTCTTTTCTTTTTGATAGGCTTAGAAAATTAAAATATAAGACAGTTGTTAAGAGATCTGTTTGGAGTTTGAGAATGTGCTCCAGTGGTAGAGTGGCTGCTTCATGTGCCCAAGGCCCCTGGGTTTGAACCCTAGCAAAAAGAAGAAAAGAAAACAAGGAAGAAGAAGAGATGGAGGAAGGGAGGGAGGGAGGAAGAAAGGAGGGTCTATTTACTGTCCATTTCAGGAATTCAGTTAATTTTTTTTAAGAAGTAGATAAGCATCCCTTTTTTTTCCTGGCAGTTAACTCCATGTTTCCACAGATTCTCCATCAGAAATTCTTCATGCCTGAAGTAATGTCTGTTAACATTAAGCCAATGTTAATTCCAGCTTAGTTGCAGAAGGAAGAGATGGCTTTGGCAAAGCAGAGGGTTGACTTGTGTCCATGCAACTCACTCCACACAATACTCTTTAGCTCTCAGTAGCTACTGTCTCAGGACATCAGCATCTTTGTCAGACACATGTGATCCTAAACTTGAAGCACCTTTCACTTCCAGTTAGGCTTCAGTTTTCCAAAAATACTGAATTGCCCTATTTTCATGTAACTCAAAGTTTTGCCCAGAGACAAAATTTTCTCTCTCTGGATTTGTTCTATCTACATCTAGCCAACTAGTGTAAGAATTTTCTAATTGCAATTTGGATATTATTTCTAACTCTTTAAAAGTATATTAACCTAGCCCCTGATTTCAAGCTAAAAAACATAAATTTTCTAAGTTGAAGTTCACTAAATGCTTATTAGGTCACAAACCTCAATATCCAGAGACACTTTGTAAATATGGTAGCATCCAAACATCAAGAAAAAGTGGGGATAAGGAAAAGAATTGAGGATGATAAATTTGAGGCATTAGAAGCTGCAACAAGTAATATTAGGCAAAGAACTAATAAGGCGATGAAAAGGAATATTAAATTATAACAAGAAAAATACAAATTATAACAAGGAAGGAAACTAAATTATTAAAAAAAGAAAGTAAAATAGGAGTCCAAAAGCTACTTAAAAGCTGCTGAATAGTGGGGAGTGGGAGGGAAGGAGTAAGGAATAATAACAGAGGGGGATGAACTGACCAAAGTAAAGCATATTCACAGCTGGGATACATTGAGAAATCCCTTTGAACATTCACTTTGGAATTAATAATGAATGACAGAACTATAATAATAGGTACAGTGTAGGGATGGTACTTGTAAGGAGGGAGGGTGAATAGAGGAGATAAAGGTGGAAGAATATGGTTGATGGACCTCATATACATAAAGAAAATAGAATGATGAAACTTCTGGAATTGCTCTAAGTGGAACAGGGAATGGGTGGCGGGAGGGAAAGTTGGAGGAGGCAAACTAACCAATGTATAATATAAGGCTAAACAGAATTGTCACAACAAATCCCTCCCCTGTACAATGAATAGATACTAATAAAAATGGGAAAAAAAACAAAACCTTTAATCAGATGCAATACAGGTCTTGGATACCAGCTCAGAAATTTCTATATTCAGAATTATCCTTTTAAGAACTTTCACTGTTTTGAAATAAGGACCCAATTAGAGTAGAGTATATATAGGTGTCTATGAACTATTCTACTCTAGAAGTTGCTTCACATTCCCCCTGAAAAATGGGCTTTCACACTCTGTATTTTCAAAGAGAATCCTGAAAGTATGGGCAGATATCAAAAAGGAAAGATAATCCTCAATTAAATAACTAAACTCAGGATTTTTAGAACAAAAAGAATTTAAATACTTTTAAAGATGGAAAAGACTTCAGAAACATAGCCTATATCTTCATTTTTCAGATAGGAATATGATTCTTGATCTCAGTAAGATTCTAGTCTAAGACCGTTTATACTACCAGTGGTATAAATGATTCTCAAAAACAATGCATATCTGACCCACCTGGGGAAGATTTTCAAAATACACATGGCCAGTTCCTCCACAAGATCTATAGAAAAAAGAGGAATAATAATATTTGTGCTTTGGAAAATCTTCCTAAGTGATTTTGATATAACCTCTAATTGAGAAGCACTGAAATATGGCATAAAGCTTCATGATTTAAAAAAAACAAAAACCTCTGATATAATAAGACTGCCATTGGAGATTGGAGACTGAATAAGTGTCTCTCTATTTGTATTCTAGCATTTAGTTAAAACCACTTGTGGTAGTTAGAAAACTGGTAATCCAGCTTGTCAGAATTTGTAGTCAGTCTAAAATATTATTCCACTTGATATTTCATAAACAATGCAATACTATGAAGTCCAAAAGGAAAAGCTCGTTCTAAATATACAGCTCTTAGAAATATTATCTCAGCTTCCCTAAGAGATTTTATCCAGGACTCATGGACCTGATCCTCAATTTATGGTTTGTGTTAAACTCTTTCTAATATAATAATATATCTGGTGAGTTAAAAATATTTTCTACTGAATAAAACTGGTATCAAAGTTAAGTTTCCAAATGTTCATTTTGCATATTCTGATTTTCTCTCTCTCCTTGTGCTGTGTTACAGAAATAGAACATCGATCAGTTAAAAAGGCTGGCATTGAAGTCCAGGAAATCAAAGGTTGGTCAGATTCCTCTTCTTACTGTGAAACCAAATGCTATTTGTGTTAAAAAATTTTTTTATGGCTTGTTATTGGAACTTAAAAAATGATCAGGCTAACAATAATTATCCATGGCTTCTGCTATGTGCTGAGCCTTTAAACCTGTGTGCTGCCACTGCTTTTTCCTATAAATAGAGTAGTATAAGGATTTCAAATCACTGATTTTAAGTGATGGAATATGATTGAGGCTGTAAGAAATCTACAATCAGTGAACTAGAGATACTTAGAGAGGAAAGAAGTTAGCTAGTCACTTTTGGAAATAGGTTAATCTGAAACATGCAGAAAAATGCTCTTTGGTGTACTGGAAAAGGCCTTTTGTTAATGGACACTAAAGGAAGGTCGTGAAAAAATCATTAGTGGTGCAGTGTGATGGCTCCCACCTATAATTCCAGCCACCTCTGAGGTGGAGATAAGAGGATCACTATTGGAAGCCAGCTCAGGCAAAAAGTTCACAAGACGCCATCTCAGCAATGAAGCCAAACATGGTGGTACATGCATGTGATCCCAGCTATGCAGTAAGCAAGTGGAGGGATCACAGTCCCAGACTGGCCCAGACACCTTATCTGAAAAATAACCTAAAACTGAAAGGGCTAGTGATGTGACTCAAGTGGTAGAGTGCTTGTCTAGCAAATACAAGGCTCTGAGTTCAAAATCCAGGACTTACAAAAGGAGAAAGAAAGAAAAGAAAAATATTTTTGGTGAGTTAATGCTTTAGGGGTATGAAAAGATTAGCTGTTCCCTACACTTCTATCTTGGCAACTCTCAATCCCCAAGTTTACTAAGGACTTCTATGTGAAAAACATTGTAGAAGGTGTAAAAAGGAAATAAAACTGTGCTTGACCTCAAGAGACAGAAAGAAGAACGTTAGAATACACACAAGCATAAACCTATATATGAATAAGTGCATTTGATTGTAATATCAGGAATGGGGAATGGGATTTAGCTATTGGTAAGCAACTGCTGGTTTCATTTAGAGTCCCTATCAAATTATTTTATCCCTCTTTTAGAACCAATTTGTACTTGTACATTTTCAACTATCTGCAGGACTGTGACATGACATTTATATTTAAGAACTCACCATGTGTCTTATGAGAGACTCCTAATGCTTAAGTAACAGGTGATTCCATTATTAGTAGCCTTAAATATGATTCACCTAGATATTCAGACTTAACCCTAGGCTTACTTGTTTTCCTTTCTCATGAAAGCAGGTTGGAAAGAGATGAAAAGAAGCAAGAACCAAGAGGGAGTTTAGGGTTTTTGTGTAGGCAGATAAGAAAATATTGCTTGCCGGCTCAAGGTTGAAAAGGGGTAAGATAATATTATAACTTAAATAAATAGAAATGTTTGGCATTTGTAGAGATTCTATCCAAGTGACACTAGTGACTGGCATTAATATATTTATATATCAAAAGTTTTCTACCATTGCTGTAAAAAATTATTGATAAGTTATGTTTGTCCTGGAAAAAAGATGTTAGAAAAAGATATTGTTAATAAATTGTTATCACTTATGGAGTACAAAAATGGGCTACACAATACCCCAACCATGCCATAGTCACTTTTATCCCCATTTTGCATATGAAGAAATGAGGATTAGAATGAGATAGTGACTGTTACAGCCACGTTTCAAGTGGAAGTTTATTTGGTGTTGAACCTATGTTCTTGGCCACTACTGCTATATTACTTATGAGAGATTAGTCCTATTAATTCATTCACTGTGAATTCTCTCAAGAAATGCAGGTTGGAAATGGTTGCAGTTTGCACTGAAATCTCTAGAATTTCAAACTATTTCTATTTAAATAGATCCCATGAAAAAGTTCTTGATTATACTGGTTGGCCTGTTGAAAACAGCCCAACCATACTGACCTCATCTTGGTTGGTCAGCGAAGAATGGAATAATGCCCTCCTGTTGGCTATTTCATCTCTTCTTAGTGCACAACACTGAGTCTGTTTGGTCAGAAAACTTCCCAGTCTTATGGCAGAACCCAGCAATTAACAAATGAAATTACTGTTTTTCTTTAAATCCATATAACTCTCATTAAACCTTTCATTGTTAAGATTATATTCTTACCACAAAAAGGAATATAAATCATGCAGGATCCCTATATCTTTTTTAAAAATCAAAATCATGAAACTTAATTCAAGTGACCTTTCAGAATAGAGGGAAAACACCATCCAGTTTTAACAGGCTAATAGATACATATAAATTTTAAATTTCCAAATTTGAGTTGCCACTGTGAATGGTCACATAACTGATCAATAATAACAAGGTTTCAGAACTCATGCTTTTCAGGGAGTTGCAGGAATAAGAGAATTTGGGATGATAAAAAAAAACTTACAGAAAGGATTTAAATTTCCAAGTACAGTTACTAATGATTTTTTAAAAACTTCCTATTATACCACCCTCCTGTAAAAAATGATGATGGTAAATCAGTTTCAAGAATATTAAAAAGAAAACTCCTTAGGCCTTATGGCAAGCAACACATTTTAGAGAAGCGCGTTGCATTTGAAAAAATAGAGAGATCCTGGTGCTAATGCAGTTTTCATGCTCTTCAAAGTGTTGCTTGCTAACATCCCACCTGAAGCCTTCAGTTTTGTCTGTGATGAACTGAGCAGTAATTACTGTGTTGCTGTGCTAAGAAAGCCTCTCCTTTCCCGTCCCAGGTATTGAGTGCACACACTTGTATGAATGCACTCACACAGGAACCTCCTTTCTAAGTGCATTTCTTTAAAGAAAAACAAAAAAAGCCTCTTACACATCATCTTTTGAAATTATGTTAATTTCCAAATATCTATGAGATGCTGTAAGAGCTGTAATCTTGTCAGATTTTAAGACATTTTTATTCTAGGTAAAATATGTCTGACATTTTATATGAGAGAGTATCATGCTTGCTTTCCCTTAATGTTCCAGAACCTGAGGTCCTGACTAATCTTAAGAGTTAGTGTCTTCACTCCTCATTCATCAGGGATGCTCCAAGTTACTGGAATTTTTAATAAAATATTTTAGGGTAAAGAGTAAAACTGGCACAATTTAGATTATTTATGGTTTAAGTGGAATTCTAAGACTCCTAAATGATAACTATTGTTTTATTATCTTTACTCTTATCTACAGAGTCTCCTGAGAAAAATAGAAATATTACCTTTTATTTCTAAGACTGAGAAATTTAAATTTTTAGCCTTTTTTTTTAAATCTTTTAAATCTTAAACATATTTCAACCTGTTCCAAAAGTTAGAATGTTCAAATATTTTTAGTAGATGACACTCAAAGTACCAGAAGTGGTGTGGAAATCAAGAATTTCTAATGTGGTGTGTATCTTAGCAAGTTCATGGCCTCAGCTCATCACGTGTTCTGTGAATGCTGAGCTGATTCTTTTCAGTCAACCACCAATGTCATTCACAGTCCTTTCCATTTAATGGAGTCCCATGCTGGCTCTGCCTAATCAAATAACCAAATATAAACTAGCAAACTATTGGGTTGGATTTAAATAAACCCACAAAATGACAGGTAGAAAATACTTAGTAATTACTCTGATAATACCTGCCTTCAAATAGAAAGGCAACAAGTTGTTGAATACTAAGCTACCTCTTTAGGGCTTATGCTTTTTAATCCCATGACCCATTTTATTGGATTTTTTAATGCTTACATATGGAACTTGTTTAAGTATAGAACAAAATGACAAAACAGTGGTCAGGAAGAATAGGAAGCACACCTACCCTCCCCTTGGAAAATGAGACTTAGGTTAAATTTGAACCAGGTCTGGGAACCAGTCCTCTTCCTCCCTTCTGCAAATTTGAAGAATCATGCAAGTGGACAAAAGAGAAAATATGCTCTCTCCTTACTTACAGTACAGGGAAGGAAATGAAGACTTTGAGTTCATATACAAAATCGTAATAATAACAGTGCTTACTCCTAGGCTTATTGTGAAGATTAAAGGTGAGCATGCTGATTTAGTGTAAGTGCTCAATGAATGTAGAGACTGTGAAGGAGGCCGGCGGCTCAGAATGTTGAAGCAAAACATTTCACCCTGCCATTTATTTGTATCATAAATTGTGTTAATGATTTATGTGTCGTAAGTAATTTGGAAAACATTTCCTTGGAGACGTTTCCAGTAAGCTGTTAAACTAAGCCTACACATACTAAGCAGTATTCAATTTTCCCGATTGTGTTACTCTGCCTGCCCTTGCTATTTTGTCAGTCTCCATGAGGCCATCTTATGGACTTTGTAACTTAGGGCAGAAGATACATCAAGAAACTGACATTCCAGACCTCCTGATTCTTTTGACAAACATGGTTGTAACTTTTAACCTGGGCATCTTTTTACCAGCTTCCTCATTCTAAGGTTTCTTGTATACAAACATACGAGTGCTTCTTGGGAGTTTAAATGCCTCAAGGCCCAGACTTATTTTCAAGTCAGTAGTTATTAAGATCCCTTCAGTAGCTTCTGTAGTTTTATTGCATCCATTTCTCAAATAGTACTTTAGGCTCAATAACCAGTACCTGCCAATGTCACAGAATAGTTTTATAAGTTATTTCTACCACCAATAAAATGATAAGTATTGCACTTATCTGCACTTATATTTTGCTGAGGACTATTTAAAAGAATCAAAAAAGACACAGTTCTTTTTCTCTTTGTATCCCTAGAAATAATGTTTGTAACTATGCATGTAAAGTACCAAAACTTCATTGAACATGAAAGAGATTCATAAAGTAAAGCTACAAGGAAACAAATACTTAATTAGCACCTTCTTTATTATCACAGTTATTATTATCACAGTTTTGCAAATGAGTTTACTAAGGCCACAATAATTTAAGTAACTTGCCCAAAGTTATACAGGAGAATGGGATTTTAAGCTTCGGTTTATTTGATTCCAGTATGTATACCAATTCTTTCCCCTGCACAATGCCATTGGTGATCATAACTTTGTAGAAATCTCAAAGAAGGGTATAGGTTTTGTGCAGTTATAGCTAAAGAGGAATTTAAAGACAGAATGAATGAAAACCAGTTTGAAAGTGAAAAACCATTCAGTGGGACTAACTGTAATCACCATAGCTGCTGCTAGCAGACATCAAACATGAACCCCACATGTATTGGTCTCAACAAGTTCTTTGTGAACAATTGTTGACTTGACTGGGTAGGGTGGGTTGGAGGATTGGATTCTTTGAGTCAGTTGAATATTGTGAACTCTTCTTTTCCTGAAGAAGCCGAGGCAGTTGTTGAACCCAAAATGGAGAACAAACCCACCTCCTCAGAATTGCAGAAGATGCAAGAGAAACAGAAACTGATCAAAGAGCCAGGCTCGGGAGTGCCCGTGGTTCTCATTACAACCCTTCTGGTTATTCCGGTGGTTGTCCTGCTGGCCATTGCATTATTTATTCGATGGAAAAAATCAAGGGCCTTTGGAGGCAAGTAAAATGAGTCCCTTGAACTTGGAACCTGCCTTTGAAAAAGTGTTTGGCCTAATTAATTAGTCTAAGGAATTTGGTCATGATTTTTTTTTTGTCTTTGCAGGGTTTTGTTGTTTTGTTTATTTTCATGTTCTCTACCATTTTTGTCGTTATTGTCTGTGTTTCAATTATTATCTACAATTAGTATCACAGTAGAAAATACGTCTGGAGCCTCTGAAATTTGGGTAGTTGATTACAGTATAAACTTTAACATTGCCTTTTAACAATTGGCTTATGCACAGTCAATATCTTCAAATGAAACTGTGTTGATTATAGAATCAGTATAGATTAGCTGACAAATCAGGGAAGAGATCAGAGTATGTGATGTCTTCCTGGTCCTCTCCATACTTAGGTCGATTGTTTTGAGGTTGTATTCCTACCACTACCCTCTCAGACTGGCTCTAGTTCCCAGCTTCATGACATTGGGCAAGTTACTTAATCTCTCTAAACCACTGTTTCCTCATAGATTAGGTGAAGACAAAATAGTTACCTCACAAGGATACAAAGATTAAATGGAATATTGTATTAACCCATATAACAAAGTACGTGGCGTGTAGGTGAAGATTGTGAAGAGTAACCATTGGCAGTAGAGTAATGAGAGCTACTTATCTCAAACCTCTGCTTTCTCAAGAAACCACCTATTTCCACAATAAACCATTTGGTAGTTTTTGACTAGTCTATATATTGGCCATCAGCTGTTCCTAACTGAACAAGGCAGGGACAAATACTGGAGTCAGTATTTTATAAGATCACTATCACAGTATAAGACCTAACTGCTGAGTTCCTCTCAGGACCTCCAAACAAATAATTAGCGCAACCCGTATTTCCCGCCTCTTAGTAGCAGCCTTTTGGCTGAGTCCCCAAGTCCTAAGGCAAGCGTTCACAGTTGTGTCTGGTAAGGAATCTGTGAACCAGCATGGTAGGCAGCATTTGATCAAGAAATAGCATCTGATAATATTTTAGGTCAAGGCGGCCATGGCAGGGATTCAGTGCCCACGGCAAAGCCATGACACAGGAAAGTACATGGAAACAGAAAAATTGGAAGTCAATTTAATAAATTGCAAAAGGGCATTTTTCTTATACTTTCTTTTGCTTTTTACCAGCAGTCATAAATCTGTAAAAATATGGTTAATTCTTCCAGAAAAAGACTTCACTTCTGTTGATCCACTGTTATGGATCTGGAACTGTCATAAGCAAGGGCAAAGAGAAAGAGACTATCATTGTCTTCATGGAGTTGGATAGAAGCCTCAAGAGAGCAAGGATTTTTGCATGTCTGGTTTACTGATATGTCCCTAGCACAAGTAACAGTTCTTGGTACTAGGGACTCATTAAATAGTCATTTTTAAATGACTTTTAAGTTCATGCAAATGTTTTTAAATGAATGAATAAATAAATGGAGCTCACAGAACAGATGATAGACACATAAAGGAGAAATGACATATAAAAGCTGCTTGGGAGCAGATAACAGGAATCTTGATACCCAACCCAAAATGGAAGAGGTGATAGATGACTAAAGAGTCAGATAGTTTGGTCTCTCCTGTTTGCTATTGGGGATATGAGACATGGCACTGTAGCATAATGCTGAATTTATGAGAATGTGTTGTGAAGGCAGAAATCCAGATTGAACCATATGAAATGGCCATTATTCACTCATGTTTTATTTCAAAAAAAAGTGTAATTCTCTACCATTCACTCAAACACATTTAATTCTAAAAGTGGATCAACCTTTTACCTTTTTCCAACATCTATTCATGATGAATCTTATCCATTTTTAGGATTTTAGAAATCCTCATAAAGACCCTTAGACACACCATCATAATGTACTCTGCTGATCCTCCACATCAGACCCTGGGTGAGGCAGAGGGAATATAAAATGGAGTGAGGAATATCCCACATCCCTGTGGAACTGGCAGTCTAATTTTTGGCTTTCTAATTATCCTATCACGTTGTTTTTCCCTTTTTTGTCTTTTTCTTTCCCCATCCACTCTTCTACTTGTCCTGTCACTAGCTCTCTTCGTGATGTTGCCCCCACTCCCAGTGAGACTTAATAGAACTCTGAGCCTGACTTCTCTGATGATAGCCATTCAGAAAGTGGAGGGAAAAGGGGGAAAAGGTGCAGGGCGATGCCCAGCAAAAGAAAAAACGAAATCCATTGGGAGTGCTGCCCCTATAAGAAAAAGAGAATCCATTCTTCATGGAGATGGGAGTGGTATGGGGAATACTTAGGTCACCTTGTGTGCTTGCTTGGAAAATACTCAGGGTTTCATGACTTTTGCCTTCACATAAAGGGGAAATTATGTATATGGATTCAAAGCTTTCTTAAGGAAGATGTATGCTGTTTATTATTTAATAGAGAGATTAAAATTTAGCACAACTATTCCTAAATTGTAGCAACCAAAGTTTCCAGTTTTTTAAATAAGATTATCGGTAATTTAATTCTATCCTAATGCAAATAACAAAAAAAATTGTTGCACATTTACTGTTTATGTTCCAGGTACTTTTCTAAGCTCATCACATGCAAAGCCCCATCTTCAGCCTGACAGATAAGCAGAAAATGTCACTGATCCCCCTCTTCTCAGAGAAGAAACCTAAGGCTCAGGGAATTAATTTATCAAAACTGCACAGTCTGGAAGAGTCATAGGCAGGAGTCAAACCCTCAGATACATCCAGATACCATTAACTCTTACACCCTTATATTTCTCAATAATATATTGCCTTTTCTCCTTAGAATAACATATAGACAAGAGTGAAGCCGTCTTAATCATTTATGCATTGCTGATTTTGTATTAAAAGTTGAGTCCATGGATTAAGGAGGGTAATTGGGACTCATTTTGAAATGTACCTTTTTGTTTTTTTCTAGATTCTGAACATAAACTCGAGACAAGTTCAGGAAGAGTGCTGGGAAGATTTAGAGGTATGTCTGTGACCTTTTAGAATCCTCTGGGTTTGGTTCAGAGTCAACAAGCTCATGTCTTTTAAAGAGCAAGGAGATATTTCATATTTTGTCTCCAAAAATTAAACACCTTATAGGCAGCACAGCACCCCCCACTGCAAATACAGAATGCAAACCATAAACTAAGCCAAGTACATGGCTCTAGCAGCAAATTTCCCGGTTTCTTTTCTTTCACCTTACCAATCTATACATTATCTGATTCCCTTTGTCAGTCTTTTATCTGGTTTCAGTTGTCTTTGCTTAAGTTTTCTGTCACTCCTGTTGGCATATCAATGCTTGTCATAGTGAGGATGACCTTTTCATAAAGTCATTGAGATAAAGAGCTGCTTGAGGAGTGCCAGTTCTGGAGAGCCAGGAAAAGCAGAAGGTGAAAAGTGAACCTGAAATACTCCTGCAGAAATACATAATCCTGGGGAGATTTTTCTTATTTTAATAAGTCTGTGGAATAATATCTAAGTGGCTTTGGTTTTGGGTCTATAGTATAAGCCCGTCTGAATGTCACTTTAAAAAAAATTCTATCCTTTCCTATCCCCAAATTCAGACATTGTTTGCCATTTAAGAATTTATGAGGTGAGGCTGGCAGAATGGCTCAAGTGGTAGAGCCTAGCAAGCATGAGGCCCTGAGGTTAAACTACAGTATTAAAAGGAAAAAAAAAAAAAAAAGAATTTACAAGGAAATGGAGGCTTATTTGTACAAACCTTACTTCAATTCTACATTATTGTTTTCTTCTTCCTCCAGGAAAGGGAAGTGGAGGTTTAAACCTTGGAAATTTCTTTGCAAGTCACAAAGGCTACAGTCGCAAAGGGTTTGACCGCCTTAGCACGGAGGGAAGTGACCAAGAGAAAGATGAGGATGATGGAAGTGAATCAGAAGAAGAGTATTCTGCACCTCTGCCCACACAGGCACCTTCCTCCTGAAAACCAGGCTTTATTTAGGTTGAATGAGATTTACCAAGAATGCCAGATTCCTTTCCCTTTAGCACGTTTAAAGTTCTGTGCATTTACTTGTAAACTGTACTAGTCTGTGTGAGACTGTACACATTTTATTTACTTCATTTTGGTTAAGTTGTCTTCTGTTTCTAGTTGAGGAGTTTCCTAAAAGTTCACAACAGTGCCATTGTCTTTATATGAACATAGAATAGAGAAACAGTTCTCTTCTTCCATCATAGTTACTAATCTGCGATGGAAGGTTTGCTCACTTACATTTTTGAGACTTTTTATGGATGTAAATAATGCCATTCTCTGCTTGAACACAGTACTTTTCCCAATAACACTCCCATTGCCAGTGTCTTTCTTTGGTGCCTTTCCTGTTCAGCATTCTCAGCCTGTGGCAGTAAAGAGAAACTTTGTGCTACACGACGACAAAGCTGCTAAATCTCCTATTTTTTTAAAATCACTAACATTATATTGCAATGAGAGAAAGAAAAAAGTCTCTATTTAAATTCTTTTTTTAAATTTTCTCTTCAGTTGATGTGTTTCTGGGATGTCTTATTTTTAGATGGTTACACTGTTAGAACACTATTTTCAATATCTGAATGTAATTTGTGTAATAAAGTGTTTTCAGAGCATTAGCTGTCAGAGTGTATTTTGTGATTTTTACATATTTTCAGGGTTTGTATACAACTTTTGTAATAATTGCACAAACTACAAATGTGTCAAAACTTACTCAATGTTTTCAACTAAAAGAAGTGTGTCATTTTATATAAAATTTAGAAATAGTTTGTTATGGAATCAATATAAACTTAAAACCACCCTGAGTATATGTTCATGTGTAAAACCAGGCTCTCTTTGAAAAGTCACAGAAGGTTTTTGCCTGTCATATATCACAGAGAAAATACTTTAATAAAAGGTGGTAGCAATTAAAAGGAAACCTGTGTCTGAAATTACATATACGAGTGAATCTATCAGTGTTGGTTACTACTAATATACTTTTTAAAGAATATTTTACCTGAATTCCCATGTATCCTTATGATGCAGTGGAATTCTCTTACAGTGACTGCAAATTACTTTTAGAACAAATTCTTCATAATCCATCAGTGCAATTTATTAAGAACCTGGTAATTTTCCACTTCAAAATGATTGGACTATAGAACCCTTTCTTCAAAGTGCCTACTTCCATTTCAGGAATCTTAGGAGTTGGAATATTAGAAATTTAATGGACTAATCATGAAAACAAAATTTACCAGAAATTTATATTGAAATATCCTCTAGTTATGTTACATTTAAAAACATAATTTAATCTACTTTTTCCCTGATAACATAATACAAAGGAGGACCTTGATTGAAAGTTTGTGTTGCATTCCATTTGTTGACCTCACTTTCTCATTAAAGCTTAATATGGTTGTCATCCTCTTTTTTTTTTTTTTGATTCCTATGTTCTTCCTTCTCAAAAGAAAAGAACATTTTCCTCCCTCTTACCATTTCTTTAAGCTTCTTTCACCAAATCAGTGGTAAATACAGAGTCATGACAATACTCTTCTGATACAGGTGTACTTGCTCACTCTGTCTCACATATCCAGTATCCATGACATGTGTTGAATAGGTTAGCTTTGATGCTCTTTGGGCTTTCTCAAATTGAAATAATTGGTTGACTTGCACCAAAGTTATCTTTTGTTGTACAGTATTTGATCATCAACTCTGTATTAGCTACATTTTTTTAAATGATATGTACACCTAGTCTTGTTCCTGAGCAGTTTTACAATGGATTAATTGAAGCAAAAAAGATCAAAGTGATAAAATACCAAGAGGCAAGTAAGAAAAAGTACAAAAATGGAAAATTGGTAGCAGGAATAATTTGTTAAATGTGCTCATAGAGAACAAACTTGACTCCAGACTCTGGTAGCTCATTAAACAAAACATGAGTACCTACATAATTCATGAGCTCATTAAACATTTAGTATTCCTAATATAAAGATCAGAAAAAAATAGCTTCCAAGTGTCTTCTGAAAGATAGCAGTACCACAGTGTAAGGTATCCAAGAATAGACGGAGAGTAGACAAGTACATTTTGCAGGTCTGTTCTCATGTATAAGAAGGGCATTATAGGAACAGAAATTTGGAAAAAGAATATCTTCTCAGACATTATAATCCAATCCTACTACACCACCATTCCACAAACCTGGCTTAATTAGAGGTGATAAACCAGAAATGAATGACCTACATTGACTGCAGGCAGTGTTTGCCCTGGTTTCCGCTGAACTTCATTTATTTGAGTCAGTTGGAGGCACTGTGTGAGAAGTGCTCTAGAGGAGTGGACCCTGGTCCTTACTTCACAGTAGAACCACCTGGGAAATTTAAGGAAAAAGTCATACCCTCTTTTTCCAGAAATTCTGATTTACAGTAGTTGACCTATATTGGGATACAGTTGTAGGTTATGTTCTTAAACTTCTCTAGCTGATTTTAATGTATAGTCAAACCTGAAACACATTGTCTTTGAGAATGGCTATTCCAATATGCCAATTCCAAGTGGATAGTTTTATTTTTCCATACAGATACTTAGAAATGGAAGATGGGATCTGAGGTATTTTGAGATGATTGCTAGTACCAATATCTGAATGCCTTAGTTGTTCATTGTGTTAAATTAGTTAAAATGAGCATGATCAGCTCATTTTTAAAAAGCAAAGGAAAACAGCTGTACTTTCATTTTTTTCATTAAATTATTCAGAGAAGATAATTTGAAGCAGTTAAAAGAATAGCTTTGTCATTCACTGAGTTGGTCCTAAGTTACAACACATGAAATCCTTTGTTCTAAACTTTCTTCCGTAGTTTATTAAGTCAGCATATTATTTTCAAAATTCCCATGCATCCTTAAACTTCAGCCCAGATGATATAAATTGAATATTTAATACAGTGATAATAAGAACCATAGATTTTGTATTAGGGTTTATTCCCCAGTCACTCACACTGTAGGTCAAAGTTGATATAGCTTATTGCAATGCTTCCCAATCTTCAATTTAGCTAAGAATCAACTGGGAGTACTTATTTTAAGAGAAAAAAATTGGTCCCATTCCCGGAGTTTTTGATTCACTACATTGGGTAGGGCCCAGAGATTTGCATTTTTAAGATGCACCTTTAGTAATTTGGAGCCACATGTTCCCTCATCCATCTCTAAGAACACAATCCTACAGAAAGTATCTGAGCCTTAACATATCAGGCAAACAAAGCCATATTCTCAAATGTGCAGTCTCATGGAGTAATGATTAGACTAAGAAGTCATCCAGTTCTTCAAACTTGAGGTCCAAGTTATCTTCCTATTAGCAGCTTCTCTTTTTAGTCCCCCAACACTGATTATTCCACCAAGGAAAGTTCCTTATATGCATGAGAGCACTAGGGTAATCCCAAAAACCTTCTTTGAAAAGTATCAAAGACAAATGCAAGTGCTGCCTTCACCAGGACACCATATTAGACTTGCATTTTTTTTTTATATTTTTGAATCACATGTAAAGGCAAAAATAAATCTGTTTAGTGTGTTTTCCACCATGGTGACTTAATTAAGAGAACATATTCTAGAGAATATGTTGATGATGGCAAATGTGACTCTCCTTAGCTTTAATAATTTTGAAATACTAAAGCTCAAAGATGTCAATCAATCATATAGCCAAAGTACATGCAGGAAACAAGGATGTATATTTTATGTGTATATGGTTCAATATACACTCTACCATCATAGAAAAGGGGTTTACCAATGACAATCCAATAATAAAGTACTCATGTTTAGATACACCAAAACATTCAAAATAAAACTTTTTTTTAAAAAGTTTGGCTATAACCTCTTTCTGAGTTAAAATGCATTTTACTGTATATAATCTCTTAAGTACATTGATCACTTGATGCTTTATTTTTTTCTATTTTACAATCCTTAATTCTCTACACCTTTTACAAAACATTGTCTGGCAAATGAAAGTTGGGTCCCTTTTGATCTTGGTTCTAATCTTGTACTCCATTGCCTAATACTTATGCCTTCTCACCGGAATTCTCATGATAAAAACTTCCTGTAGTTTTGATTCTGTGCTTTGCTTATTTGGTAATTAATTTGTCTTCTATAATTGGAAGGGATTGTCAAATTTGAATGTAGATGGAGCAACACAAATGTGGAAGTCTTTAAAACTCAGTTGTATTAATTTCCACATAAGGAGATAGTGTTATCCAGTGTTACAACCCAGGCTTAGAAAATACTGAGTTTGGAAACAAAACTAGTTTGGGATCAGAAAGACTGAAACTGCACATTCTAGATTTTATTTTTCTATATACAATTGTGTTTTTCAGACTTTTTAGTCAATTCAGATGGGTTTAAGAACAATTCCCATTTACTAAGAATTACAAACTGGAGATGTGACTTAAGCAGTAGAGTACCTGCTTTACAAACACAAAGCTTTGAGTTCAAAAAAATTAATTGTGCAGTGATAAAATAAATGCTTTCAATTGACTCACATAATTGAAAAGCCCAGATGTGGCTATATCCAGACACTCAAATGATGCAAATAGGATTCTGCTTCCCTCCATCCTTCAGTTTGGCTGGCTTCTATATAGAACTCACTTTCAGGCAGACACTCCATAGATAAGGCAATAAAGGTGGCAGCCAGCAGCTCTAGGGTTAAATGCTACCAGCGTGAACTGTGAGACAGCCTGTTTTTCTAAAGAGCTCCAATACATCAACTAACTGGCCTGATTTGGTTCATGTGCCAACCTCAGAACCAGTCTCCATGGCCTAGGAAAGTATGATGCTGGCTTAGTCAGGCTTCTACAAAGCCAGGATCATCTTGTGTCCTGCAGTAAATACTGATAATTTAGAAAGCAGAGGTTTCCTCAAGAAAAACTTGGGATACTGCTGATAGGTGAACAAGAGTAAATTCTAGGGGAAAAAAAACTGCAAATATTCACTACTATAATATTAAAACTTTTACCAATGAGTCACAATATTTCTCAGGTGAAAGAATTTACTGGCATAGCCCTCAGAAGACCAAAAATCATATGTTCTCCCTCATACGCAGATTTTAGATCTAGGGCAAATACAGCAATGTGGTTGGACTTGGATCCTTTGACAAGGGGAGAGCACATACGGGAGATATAGGAATAGGTAGCAAACCCAAAACATGAAAGCGTTTGATGTCCCCACTGCAAGGAACTAATACAGAAACCTTAAAGCGACAGAAGTCAACATGAGAAGGGGATCAGGAACCAGTGTAAAGATCAGTTACAGAAGAATCAACTTGGGTTGTCACACATTTGTACATGAAAGCAGTGCTAGGAATCTCTCTGTATAGCTACCCTTAACTAAACTAGCAAAAATGCTTTGTCTTCCTTATTATGCTTATGTCTTCTCTTCAACAAAATTAGTGATAAGGGCAAAACAGGTTCTGCCTGGAAGTGAGGGGGGAGAGGGCGGGGGAGGGAGGCAGGGGGGAGAAATGACCCAAACAATGTATGCACATGTGAATAAATGAATAATTTTTTTTAATTTTAAAAAATAAAATTAAAAAAAGTTTACTGAAAGAGCTATTTTTGAAGTTATTACATTTAAAAGGGTAATTGAGCCATTAAGTCAATAGCAATGTATACA